CACCAGTTATAATGTCAAATACACAACGAGACTGACTTTCTTCAAATCACTTTAGCGAACGGTGGCAAAATTGAATTCGCAGCTGTTTTTGGTCGTCGGTTAGTTTATGCGGTACCCACCGAGCACAAACTTTTCTTAGATTTAAATAATCATGAATAATCGAATTAATTGCCGTGGAACTGATACCCAATATGTTTTCTATTTGCTGATATGTCGAATGAGGATCATCTTCAATTATTTTTCGTACAGCATCAATTGTTTGTTCATTAACAGATGTTGAAGGATGACCTGAACGTGGAGCATCTTTAACAATAAAATTATCGCGTTGAAATTCACGAAGCCAATTGAAGACTGTGTGATCAGAAGGTGCTTGCTCCCCCCATGCTTGTACCAAACGGCCATGGCTATCCTTGTATGTTAAGCCAATTTTCCAATCATATAAAATCATAGTGCGAAATTGTTCACGTGAGAGTTGAAAACTCATATCGAAAGTAAGGCGAGGGTGACATGAAAAAAAAAGAAAAAGTACAACGATGGGTAATGCGTGGACGGCTGAAATTTTGTACATAGTCCTAAATATGTTTAATTATTATAGCGGAATAGATGTCCTCAAATTACCATTTCTAGAAGAGCTGTATGAAAAAACTTTTGTAGTGCCCTATGTATAATGGATAAAAAGAAACGCTAGGAATATTTTACCCATGAGATAACTCGACGTTATCTCATGAGATAAGTCGCTGTGATCATTTTTTCTATTTAATTTATAAATTAATGTTTTGCTCTAAATGTGTAAATACATACTTTAGCCATGGGATAAGTCGATTTATCTCATAAGATAAGTCGAGTTTTCTGATAGGAATCATACATTTTGTAAAAATTGATCGGAAAGAGAATGTTGAAGTGTGTTGGGCTACGAATTTGGATCCACTACTCATGTCCATCATAGAAGGTGACGATCATCTTAAATGATTAAATAATTTGCATCTAACTAATTAATTAGCCATGGCAGACCGTGACAGATAGCCTCTGGGAACCATCAGAGACGGAGAGAAACGCGATCTGGTGACCATCGTGTACTGACAGGCGGTTCCAGGTGACTATTAGAGGTCATGTTTAACTCAGATCTAGTTAGAATATGTATGGAGTATCTGCTTGACGATGTTCGACGGTCTAAAGTAAGGAATATTGGGAAAGTCTACCGAGGTATGCATAAAAGGGAAGTTTTCTGTAGTTAGGAACAATGGGTGTGGGTGTGGATGTGGGTATGGTTGGGTTGGCATGGGGTGTGGGTGTCCATGTGAGTGTTGTTCTTTTTTAAACCCAACACGCACACCCCACACCTACACCCACACCCTATCTAAAAAACTAAACAGTCATCATAAGAGTAAAACTGTTCACGAAATGTTCAAAAATTGATAAAAACGATTATCCGAAATTATGAGGATTTTTTATCATTTATTAGAGAATTGATAGAGGGAAGCAAGGCCTACACAATGGTGAAAACTGCAGCTCTCTAGCACTTTCCATTTTTGAGCTATTGAAAAAATACCCACGGCCATCTTATTATTGAACAGACATTAGGAAAACTATTTCTTATTCAGATAAAATATACTACAAAGTGTCAGAAGCTCGAATTGTGAAAGTAACCAAAGAAAGTACTTCTCACGTGGTCAAATGCGTCCAATTTTTTCAAATAAAGGACCAAAGAAGATTATACAAGCAAAGCAAGTTTTTGAACGTGTTCAGGTTGATTTAGTGGATCTTTCTCGAAAGCCGGCATTCAAAAATGGCATTGAATATCGTTATGTACTTGTCGTCCTTGATATCTTCTCACGATATATGTTTTTACGTCCGTTAACCAGTAAAAGTGCAGGTATTAGTTATATCTTTAAAATCAATAATTAAGTATTTATTATTTGCAATCAGTTACAGCCGATATAAAGCATCATATAGTCGGTAAAAGTCTTTTCAGATGTCTTTTGTACGTTTAATTCGCGTTAGAGATTATTGTTGTTGCATCTGTAGATAGCTGAAAGTTAAGGTTAATTAAAAAGTGCAATTACGTAGCAATTTTCAGGTAAACTTCAGTAGAAATATAATTTGATATTTTTACTAGTGGAAGTGTGTCATCATTTGGAATGTATTTTTCGTGAACACGGAACACCAACAATTATTCAAACTGATCAAGGTACAGAATTTAAAGGTATGTTCGACGAATTACGTAGTAAAAGAAATATTCGACATATTCGATCACGTGCTTATCACCCAGAATCTCAGGGAAAGGTTATTAATTATAATAAAATTCAATTCACAATGCTTTTAATACACGAGTTTAGATTGAACGTTTAAATCGGTCTTGGAAAAATAAAATGGTTTGTGATATGTTAATAAATGGAAATACAAATTGAGTTACCAATCTTTCTTTATATTCTGAAACTTACAATCAGTCAAAGCATCGTGGTCTTGGTATGTGTTGCATTTTGATTGCCAATTTACTGACCATTGTTTTTATTCATAGGAAATTTGACTCCTTTTTTTGTTTATTTCGGACGTGAAGCTGGTACTAAAGGTGGTTCAAATGCAGTTATGAACGAAGATGATGATGAAAATGTATGTATTCATAAATTGAAAAAGTCAAAATGAGTTTGAGCGAAGTAAAACATCTATTGAACTGGCTTTCCACAAAATAGAATATGCCATAAGAGAATTATGATTCATACTTATTCACTTGTAAACATTAGCATAGTCGTTAATAATAAACAAAAACAAGAACAATTCAAATATATTATACAAATCAATATTAATATATGTCTTTGATTGGCAATTTCGATAAATTAAAATCTTTATTTGATGAAAATCGTGAATTCAGATAAACAGGAAGAGTTTTTGTTATAGTTTGACTCTTAAATAGTGATGATAATTGTAATGCTGACTGTAAAGAATAAAAAAAGATCTTGCTTAGATCGTGTTCGTATAAAAAAATATCTAAAATGAATTATATAGAATATAATTAAGTATAAATATTGATAAAATGATATTCTCATGATTGTAAATAAGGCTTCTCTGACTATCATATAGCTATATATATGTTGTATAAGAAATGGGAGTTCATGACAATTTTAAACTGCTCTGAGAAATGCCTTAGGTGATTTTGAAATTGCCCAAAAAATCCTAGGAAAATTTTATATTTCCTTGAATTTTAATTTCTCCCTACAACATAGTTTTTTCGCTCAATTAGGATCCATTAGAGTGGTACATATTTTTCTTTCCGGGGTAGCATAAAGTGGCCTGTGCATTAAGAACTATTTCGAGAAGTCTTACACCTGCTTCATTATAATATTGGCACTTTTGACATCTTATAGTTTGAGTAATGGTGTGACAAGTTTCTTCTATGATACTATAGCTTTTGTAATCCTGTTCATGTCTAACAACTATGACAAAATCAAAGTGTATTTTTATCATGATAAATGATAAATATGTGCCCACAAGCTATATCTTATTGACATATAAAGATTCAATAAAGATGAACTATAATTATTAATTGTTAGACCTATATTGAATTGAATGATGAAGAACCAGTATCGGGAAGTGTTTTAATTAACGCAATTGAAATGAAAGAACAGGCTAAAGAAAAAGCAAATGAAAAAATACAACTTTATTACGACAAGCAAAAATCCATCTACCAAAAGCAAGTTTGCGCAATATCTTGCAATGTTGGCGGTACAGTATACATAGCATTAACTTGCTTTTATATTGATTTTATTATGCTTAACTTGTTTAATCAATGCTATAGTTTTATTATTTGCGTTTGATTTGCTTTTCTAAGACCATTAGTCGATCTCGTTGTAAGATAAGTATTATTTCATTGATATACTTATTAATAAATTAATTATTAAGTAATTATTTGTTCTAGATAAAGTGTTGGTAAAATTAAGTGGAAAATAATTCGATTTATCAAAAAATAGAAATGTTACTCGCCCAGGAATTGTCGTGCAAGCAAAAACAGCTGATTTCTTGTACTTAATTCAATATGAATACAACAATTGCGTTCGTGAAGACTGGTTTTTTGTTGACAACATTACATGTCGAACAGTCCAGGAACAAGAAAAACGGTTGTTCATGGCCACTGGAAAAACTGCATCAAAACATTTCCATCCACAAAATAGAGCGAAAAAAATCAAGATAGGTAAAACATTGAGTAAAACTTCTTCTATTAGCAAATAGCGGCTGTGTTTTCATGACCATACAAAAAGCTATGGAGTTTTGGGAATCCTATAGGATAGCCTAGAAAAAGTTTCACGAGTTGGCGCTACTACCAAAATTAGGATACATATGTGCGTAAATGTGGTAAAAATACGCGCTTGATCAGATGTGATCCCTTTGTAGGGTTTTTAACATACCGAACGGTAGGTTTTGGATAGATTTTTTTACACAGAGACTCCTTATTTTCTACTCTATTTTAAATTACATTGCGATAATTTTCTTGCCATAAAATCCGTAGATCAGCAAGTTTTTTACGACATTGCTTGTTGAATATTGAGTTATATTGCCAAGTAGCTTGACTTTGGTTATTTATGCTGACTTCTGGGTCCAAGCCTTGGGAGGGCCTTATCTTCGACTCTATAAAACTTTGAGAACCTCTATTTTAAGAAATGATAGGCCACATATGGATGTATCTACGCAAACGATTAGATTCTGGAAAAAATATTTTTGCATATGTCTGCTTGGCTCACCACTGTGCTCCAGTGAGTTTTAAGGGAGTTCTTGAGATATGCAACTCACCGAAGACTCATGACAAGGAGTTTCCGGTGATTTTGCATTTTTCACGAGACTCTTCCCAGGGATTTTGTTGGGAACAGTCGACTAGGGTATTGGTACTAGTTTATACCTAATAGATCTATTAAAAAAAACTGAGATCTGACATAATCGTAGCCATTCAGAACATAGTTAAAACGATTTATGTGAGTTTCGTCGTGTTAGAGTGCCATACGTATATATGATTCTGCTGTTTTAGAAAACAAAACAGGTAANAATCAGTCAAAGCATCGTGGTCTTGGTATGTGTTGCATTTTGATTGCCAATTTACTGACCATTGTTTTTATTCATAGGAAATTTGACTCCTTTTTTTGTTTATTTCGGACGTGAAGCTGTTGCTAAAGGTGGTTTAAATGCAGTTATGAACGAAGATGATGATGAAAATGTATGTATTCATAAATTGAAAAAGTCAAAATGAGTTTGAGTGAAGTAAAACATCTATTGAACTGGCTTTCCACATAATAGAATATGCCATAAGAGAATTATGATTCATACTTATTCACTTGTAAACATAATATATGTCTTTGATTGACAATTTCGATAAATTAAAATCTTTATTTGATGAAAATCGTGAATCCAGATAAACAGGAAGAGTTTTTGTTATAGTTTGACTCTTAAATAGTGATGATAATTGTAATGTTGACTGTAAAGAATAAAAAAAGATCTTGCTTAGATCGTGCTCGTATAAAAAATATCTAAAATGAATTATATCAAATATAATTAAGTATAAATATTGATAAAATGATATTCTCATGATTGTAAATAAGGCTTCTCTGACTATCATATAGCTATATATATGTTGTATAAGAAATTGGAGTTCATGACAATTTTAAACTGCTCTAGGAAATGCCTTAGGTGATTTTGAAATTGCCCAAAAAATTCTTGGAAAATTTTATATTTCCTTGAATTTTAATTTCTCCCTACAACATAGTTTTTTCGCTCAATTATGATCCATTAGAGTGGTACATATTTTTCTTTCCGGGGTAGCATAAAATGGTCTGTGCATTAAAAACTATTTCGAGAAGTCTTAAACCTGCTTCATTATAATATTTGCACTTTTGACATCTTATAGTTTGAGTAATGGTGTGACAAGTTTCTTCTATGATACTATAGCTTGTGTAATCCTGTTCATGTCTAACAACTATGACAAAATCAAAGTGTATTTTTATCATGAGAAATGATAAATATGTGCCCACAAGCTATATCTTATTGACATATAAAGATTCAATAAAGATGAACTATATTTAATAATTGTTAGACCTATATTGAACTGGATGATGAAGAACCAGTATCAGGAAGTGTTTTAATTAACGCAATTGAAATGAAAGAACAAGCTAAAGAAAAAGCAAATGAAAAAATACAACTTTATTACGAGAAGCAAAAATCCATCTACCAAAAGCAAGTTTGCGCAATATCTTACAATGTTGGCGGTACAGTATACATAGCATTAGCTTGCTTTTATATTGATTTTATTATGCTTCACTTGTTTAATCAATGCTATAGTTTTATTATTTGCGTTTGATTTGCTTTTCTAAGACCATTAATCGATCTCGTTGTAAGATAAGTATTTTTTTATTGATATACTTATTAATAAATTAATTATTAAGTAATTATTTGTTCTAGATAAAGTGTTGGTAAAATTAAGTGGAAAAAAATTCGATTTATCAAAAAATAGAAATCTTACTCGCCCAGGAATTGTAGTGCAAGCAAAAACAGCTGACTTCTTGTACTTAATTCAATATGAATACAACAATTGCGTTCGTGAAGACTGGTTTTTTGTTGACAACATTACATGTCGAACAGTCCAGGAACAAGAAAAACGGTTGTTCATGGCCACTGGAAAAACTGCATCACAACATTTCCATCCACAAAATAGAGCGAAAAAAANTACTCGCCCAGGAATTGTAGTGCAAGCAAAAACAGCTGACTTCTTGTACTTAATTCAATATGAATACAACAATTGCGTTCGTGAAGACTGGTTTTTTGTTGACAACATTACATGTCGAACAGTCCAGGAACAAGAAAAACGGTTGTTCATGGCCACTGGAAAAACTGCATCACAACATTTCCATCCACAAAATAGAGCGAAAAAAAATAAAGATAGGTAAAACATTGAGTAAAACTTCTTCTATTAGCAAATAGCGACTGTGTTTTCATGACCATACAAAAAACTGTGGATTTTTGGGAATCCTATAGGATAGCCTAGAAAAAGTTTCACGAGTTGGCGCTACTACCAAAATTAGGGTACATATGTGCGTAAATCTGGTAAAAATACGCGCTTGATCAGATGTGATCCCTTTGTAGGGTTTTTAACATACCGAACGGTAGGTTTTGGATAGGTTTTCTTGCACAAAGACTCCTTATTTTCTACTCTATTTTAAATTGCATTGCGATAATTTTCTTGCCATAAAATCCACAGATCAGCAAGTTTTTTACGACATTGCTTGTTGAATATTGAGTTATATTGCGAGGAGCTTGACTTTGGTTATTTATGCTGACTTCTGGGTCCAAGCCTTGGGAGGACCTTTTCTTCGACTCTATAAATCTTTGACAACCTCTATTTTAAGAAATGATAGACCACATATGGATGTATCTACGCAAACAATTAGATTCTGGAAAAAATATTTTTGCATATGTCTGCTTGGCTCACCACTGTGCCCCAGTGAGTTTTAAGGGAGTTCTTGAGATATGCAACTCACCGAAGACTCATGACAAGGAGTTTCCGGCGATTTCGCATTTTTCACGAGACTCTTCCCAGGGATTTTGTTGGGAACAGTCGACTAGGGTATTGGTGCTAGTTTATACTTAATAGATCTATTAAAAAAACTGAGATCTGACATAATCGTAGCCATTCAGAAAATAGTTAAAAAGATTTATGTGAGTTTCGTTGTGTTAGAGTGCCATACGTATATATGATTCTGCTGTTTTAGAAAACAAAACAGGTAAAAATATAGTTTCAACGATTGATCAAACATCAAAGAATACAACAAGTAATAAAATATGCACATCAAATTTTCGTAAGACATACTTTATACTTTTGTAAAGTTCTTTTTTCCTATCTTTTGCTTTCAGGTCAAAGATATCAAAAATATTGCGAAGAAGATAAAGTGTTCTTGAAGAACACTACAAACAATACATGTGATTCATTTAACAATATTCAATGTTCTTCACAACCATTAACTACCAACTCCTTTAACAAGGAAAGTACAAATGAAAATAAAACAGTTTCGTTCCACTCACAAGGTCTAGATGGTAATTATGATGCAGAAAAATTTATTTATAACGCTCTCTGTTTTGCATTTTGCTTACATTTCATACAAATAATTTTATAGTTGCCTATGTAATACTAGTTATTCATCAACACTAGTATATATCAGATAAGTATAACATTCATTATTGGCTAGTTTGTTTGGTCTCCCAAATAGTTGTATTTATGTTTAGGATACGATGAACTAAAGAAAGTAGATAATGAAGATCATTTAATGAAAAATTTTGATGATACATCAGATGAAGTTCGATTCGAAATTCCTTTTTTCTGTAAGTTCATGCTGCCATTCATAAGCTTTTGTAAATTACTGCTATTTTGACAATAGATCCTGAAACATCTGATGAATTACAATCTCGACAATATAAAGAAATGAGAAAAAAATGTGTTGCTTGTGATCCAGCTATTCCAAACAATGGTGGTGCTGTGACAGAAGGCAATTTAAGATTCATATTTGTAGCAACCTGTACTTTGGATTACTTTTTATCATTTATGCGACTTGCTTTTCTCACTAACAATTCTTTTCGATATTTTCTTGAATCTGCAGCACAATGTGAAAATATCGTGGCTCAAACACTTCTCAAAATGGAGCCCTCATTGCACAAACTGGATTGGAATATGGCACGCTTTATTTGGTCAAAAATGATTGGTGTTGTAGACAAGGCACTCAAGCAGCAACATGGAAGTGAAAAAAATACATTTGGTTATTTAAAAGTGCGTGTTCCATAATTCTAACTGTTTCTCGACATATCGGAGCTGAGTACATATTACATANACATAATAGTAGCCATTAAGAAAATAGTTAAAAAGATTTATGTGAGTTTCGTTGTGTTAGAGTGCCATACGTATATATGATTCTGCTGTTTTAGAAAACAAAACAGGTAAAAATATAGTTTCAACGATTGATAAAACATCAAAGAATACAACAAGTAATCAAATATGTACATCAAATTTTCGTAAGAGATACTTTATACTTTTGTAAAGTTCTTTTTTCCTATCTTTTGCTTTCAGGTCAAAGATATCAAAAATATTGCGAAGAAGATAAAGTGTTCTTGAAGAACACTACAAACAATACATGTGATTCATTTAACAATATTCAATGTTCTTCACAACCATTAACTACCAACTCCTTTAACAAGGAAGGTACAAATGAAAATAAAACAGTCTCGTTCCACTCACAAGGTCTAGATGGTAATTATGGTGCAGAAAAATTTATTTATAACGCTCTCTGTTTTGCATTTTGCTTACATTTCCTACATATAATTTTATAGTTGCCGATGTAATACTAGTTATTCATCAACACTAGTATATATCAGATAAGTATAACATTCATTATTAGCTAGTTTGTTTGGTCTCCCAAATAGTTGTATTTATGTTTAGGATACGACGAACTAAAGAAAGTAGATAATGAAAATCATTTAATGAAAAATTTTGATGATACATCAGATGAAGTTCGATTCGAAATTCCTTTTTTCTGTAAGTTCATGCTGTCATTCATAAGCTTTTGTAAGTTACTGCTATTTTGACAATAGATCCTGAAACATCTGATGAATTACAATCTCGACAATATAAAGAAATGAGAAAAAAATGCGTTGCTTGTGATCCAGCTGTTCCAAACAATGGTGGTGCTGTGACAGAAGGGAATTTAAGATTCATATTTGTAGCAACCTGTACTTTGGATTACTTTTTATCATTTATGCGACTTGCTTTTCTCACTAACAATTCTTTTCGATATTTTCTTGAATCTGCACCACAACGTGAAAATATCGTGGCTCAAACACTTCTCAAAATGGAGCCCTCATTGCACAAACTGGATTGGAATATGGCACGCTTTATTTGGTCAAAAATGATTGGTGTTGTAGACAAGGCACTCAAGCAGCAACATGGAAGTGAAAAAAATACATTTGGTTATTTAAAAGTGCGTGTTCCATAATTCTAACTGTTTCTCGACATATCGGAGCTGAGTACATATTACATANGTGAAAATATCGTGGCTCAAACACTTCTCAAAATGGAGCCCTCATTGCACAAACTGGATTGGAATATGGCACGCTTTATTTGGTCAAAAATGATTGGTGTTGTAGACAAGGCACTCAAGCAGCAACATGGAAGTGAAAAAAATACATTTGGTTATTTAAAAGTGCGTGTTCCATAATTCTAACTGTTTCTCGACATATCGGAGCTGAGTACATATTACATATTAATGTAGTCTATAGATTGATATAATATATTCTTTTAATACTTGGCAGTTCATTTATTGAACCACTATCGAGAAGCTGAATAACGAAATCCGAAATTTTCCCATCGAATTTATGTCACACGATATTCAAATTTAAAGAATATTTCATGTTTATCAATTTAACTATGAAAAGAATAACTGCGGAAGTAAAATTATTTAAATTTTCAGAAATCAAAACAAAAATGTTGATTTAAGTAGATATGATACCTTCAGCACACAATTCAATGAGGCAATACCATCTAATTTATAATGATACTTTTCAAAAACGTTTTTGTCGTTAAAAATTAAACTATTTATATATCCTTTCTATGATGTCGTTTGCAGAATAAGATGAATCAAAATACATTTGCATGTCAAATGGTTCAATATCAACAAATCGAAGAAGACCTGGTAACTGAAGTTTATATAAATTGTTTTGGTTCTGAAGATGCATTTTTTGCGAATCATCTGAGTAATTTATTACAAATGTATGAATGTGAAACTGAGTGCAATAACATCAAATGCCCGATCAAAAAAAAGGTTTATCGAAATTCATATTTATCTTTCAAGTATGTGCTGAAACTTTGAAACTATTTAGGAAGTTCTCAGTTTCTTTAATTATCAATTAAAGAAATCTATACTATAGAATTCTATATCATAGAATGCTAGAAGAATTAGGACTAGGTTATATATTGTTCCGAAGTAGTAATCGCGAATTTATTCAACTTGAGTACCAATAACTCTCACATGTTTCAAAGTTCTTCTCACGATTTTCGCTTCACAATAATCGATTTATAAACTATATTTCAATTAAAAGCTGATATACGACTAACGTTAATAAGGGACATATAATGTGTGCAAATTTTCTTTTTATTTTTGAAGCTAATCATCTTATTTACTATGTAGTTTTAAAACAGTTTAAAACCATGTTTTGAAATATCTTTCTCGGTATTTTGCCACTAATAGTTAAGATAAACTACTATCTCAGATAAAGAAATTGACTAATGTAGAGATTTGAATAAAATAAAGAATCAAATCATGGACAGGATGATTGACTTCGGTTTTTCTGTCCTTAATATAATATAAACTTTCTCTAATTCCTAAAACAGTCAATGTAGCTTTATTCACAATTTTATTATTGTATAAATGAAATAAGATTACTATTTGAAAGAAGCATCTTTACAAAAAATTTGATCAACTAATTTGATCGGCTTTTGTACAAAAGAAGTCATCTTTTTGTC